AAGTTGACCCCCTCTTCTTTGTGGCAGCCCCTCAAGTACTGGATTACTGTTATCATGTCACCCCTAATTCTTCTTTTCATGTACATTCATACATTATGCTAAGCTATGGTTCACTTCACAAATTAAACCAAAATAGCCAAGTGATTGTTTAGTGAGACGAACGAGCTCATTTTGGTGCCGTTCTAACGTCAAAGCCAGTGCTGCCATTTTGCTTCACTGACGCCAGACCGCCATGAACCCTGAGGGAGAGAGGGAGCCAGCGGGGGGGGGGGGGGGGCAGGGGAGACCAGAAACCGAATTGGATACCTGACCCCAAGTCTACAAGTGTGGGAATGAAATGCAGATCATCCCCCACTCCACCTGTTACCAAAACAATTTGTTTGAATCTCATTGGACACTAAACAGGTAATGGGGACGAGACTGGTTCTTCATAGCTCGGACGACACAACAATGCAAGACCGGCATTTCTCATTTTTAAAAAGTGCTTTATTCCATTTTTTTTTCACAGTATGAAGATAGCAACTGCAGTAACAACCATGGACTACACAAAAGGACCTGGTAAGAGAAGTCAAACCAGGCACAATGATTTCTACAGGAATATGCAGAGTCTCCAAGACCTCAGCCAGCCCAAGAAAGGAAGGAGATGACCATGGAGGTCACCCCAGCTTCATTCTGTGTTAATCAATGACCAAACGGAAAGAATCCTCTCCGTCCTTCCCCTAAATGGAGAGATGCAAGGTGGGATATGTAGTCCCAAAGGTGATAGTTGCTGCAGGATGCTGTAGTTCAAGACCATTTGGAACATTCTAGACTGAGAAGGTCACCACTGATGGGGCCAGAGATATTCTTTACTCTAAAGTGAGACCTCAGTGACCACTGCCTGGCCAAAAGAAGACAAGATGAGCAATGAAGGGAGATATAAGGCACTAGAAATTCCACAGGGTGTCTTTTAGAGTTGTTACCACCGGGGTGTGTAACCTTTTAGACTTTTGGACTTCAATTCCCAGAATCCCCCAGAATTCTGGTAGTTGAAGTCCACCAGTCTCAAAGTTGCCAAGGTTGGACACCCTGGGGTAAGAGGCTTGGCTCCTCACCCGCATTTTCCCTTCTGCTCTACCCCAACCCTATTCCAACACAGAAAACTCCAAATTTGGGATTAAAGATTGAGCATCCTAAATTAAAAGGCAGCACCCAGATTGGATTCTGTTTGGAGACAGGAGGAAGCCACTGCCAGGAAATCATGAGGAAAAGGAGAGGGTGTCTTCGGTCTTTGGTCCTAGCCAAAGGACTCAGGAACGGCAGCCGACACCAGAACAAGCTTGCAATTTTATGAGCTTCTGGTTCATCTGCACGAGCAGCGAAGGGTCAACGCTCTTGGCTACATTGGAGAGCTGGTGTGGGTCTGCCGTCAGGTTGTAGACTTCCACAAAATTCTGCAAGAGAAAAGTAGGATCGGCAGTGAGTAGTGGTGGGTTCCGGATCCCGTTGTACACTGCAACGGGGCTGGGCGTCTACCACGGGCATGCGCGCTGCACACGTATGCACAACCACTACCTGCGACGCTCCAGCTGCTTGGCGGAGTGTCGTGCAGGCACCATACACTGCACACTCATGGACAAATGGCCCGTTTCCTTCAAATACAGGTAAGGAATGAGGGCTGGTGGGTGAGCCCTCCAAAGCACTGTTCTGGTACGGTGACTGCTGCTTCTGCCAGGCACCGGTACGTGCGTACCAGGGCATACCGCCCGGAACCCACCACTGGTCAGGAAGCAGCCCCTCCGAGAGAAAATCCGTCCGCAAAGGGAGAGGATTCCCACCCACAGCCTTCCTTCAGAAGTCAATGGCTATCCAACCTGTCTTCTGCTTATAAGGTGGTCCTGGTTGCCTTCATGTCTGGGGAAAGACTTCACCCCCTTGGCAGAACCAACCTGGGAGAATCATCCCTTAGAACAGGGGTGTCAAAGTCAAGGCCTGGGGGCCAGATTGGCCCATGGGGCACTTAGATCTGGCCCACAGGGCTGCCCTGGAAACAATGAAGGATTGGCCCGTGAAAACAGGGTCCTGAGCTCCTTTTTCGGCTACCACGGCGTCCTGCAACCCTCTGCCAGAAAAAAAACTAATAAAGTTGGTTATAGAGAAAAGGAAAAGCAAATCAGAACAACAAAAAGAGAAATCCTCTATCCATCGTCTCTTGCCTGCTTCAATACTTTAATTGCTATGCTTTTTTTGACTTGCCTCCCAGATTCCTCTCTTGAATCTTGATCTCTGTCTGCATCTGAGAAGCTCTGATCATTCTTGAAGGCCACAGACCTGACTTTCTGAGCCCTAACACAGAACCTTCTGATGCTAGAGAAGGCGAGAGCAAAACCACGGCCGCTTACCTCTTTATCGGCAAATTCACAGTATTGCATGTTCGTAGGCCTCAGAGTGCGCACGCAGGCATATGTGTTGTTGTAGGCATCTTCACACACGCAGTCAGGGAAACAATGCTATGGCAAACAGAGTTTGGGGAAACGTTCATGAACTGAAGATTCAATGGGAAACTTAGGTTCTCCTGCCGAGTACGAAGACGGCTAGTGAGGACTGACCGACTTGCATCAAACTACACCCACCAGAATCGAGGGTGATCACAAGGCTGCAACCCTGTTTGTCTGAGCTTTGCAAAATCGCAAGACCTTTTTCGGTGGGACAAAAACTCTTAGTAGAGCAGTTAAGATGTCAATGCAACCTCACAGGGACTTCCTTGGTAAAGAGGGCATAGCTAGCTGGCTGGCACAGATTTATTCCTTATTTATTGATCGAAGGGGGGGGCAGTGGCTCAGCAGTTAAGACACTGGGCAAATCAGCTGGAAAGCCGATAGCCCAGGTTCGAGACCTGAGCACTCTTTGGCGGCATGAGCTCCCGCCCTCCCCTCCAGCTCCTGCCAACCTGGCAGTTCAAAAGCGTACAAATGCAAGTAAGTACCACTTTGTGGGGAAGGTAACAGAGCTCCAGGACACCACTACTTCAATGGCTTTGAAACAGGGATAAGCACCACTCCCTATAGTCAGCAACTAGCGGAGTAAAATTGGCAGGGACTCCTTTACCTTTTTATTGAACTAATCAATGGATACAGCTGCTCATTTTTCAACAGCAACTCTTAGTGACTTATATAGAATTAGAGACACAAATAGACTATAGCAAACTGTAGCATAATGGCAACCAAGAACAACCTCATTTATCAACAATAGCACAACTGTCTTGTGGGCCCTAATTACCTCCAAGCTCCCATAAATAAGAAGGAAAGACAAAAGTTCATTTGTCTTTCCATCACTTTATGGAACTGGGATGGCGAACCTATGGCACGCGTGCCACAGGTGGCTCACAGAGCCCTCTCTGCAGGGACACCAGCCATCGCCCAGGCCAGCTCCATTGCAAACATGTGTGCGCCTCTGCCGGCCAGCTGGTATTTGGGTCTTTGCAGATTGGGGGAGGCAGGAATGCAGAAAGCCTCTGTGCGCTGGGGAGGAACTGCTCATATCTAGGAGGCAGGAATGGAGGAGAAAGTCTATCTGTGCTGGGGAGAAACTGCAGAGATTGCAAGCCCCCACCCCATCCCCAGTGCCATGTTTTGGGCTTGAAAAGCCTCCAGCTGAAAGCTAAAAGGGGGGTGGAGTGCGTGCACGGGGGGATGCGGAGGGAATGCGGGTGCATGCATGGGGGGGGGGACTTACACTGCATTTTGGGGATTGGGACACATGTGCATTCACAGTGGGGCACGCACACTTTGGACACTCGGCACCAAAAAGGTTTAACCATCACTGTTTTAGAACATCCGTTTCATTGCCCTGTAACACAGTAACTGCCCTACTCCTACTCTTAACATGGTGAACTAGGTGCCCAAGGGTGGGAGACCATGCCTACACAGGGATGTGAGAATGCAAGAAAGCCTCTCTCAGTAGCGTGTTAGGCTGATAGACCCTTTATGTTCACTTTGTGCTTTGCTATTCTGTGGTGACCGTCTGTTGTGAACTGTGGGGAGGGGGGTGCTTGGGAGGAAAGTAGAAGCTACTGGTGATGCCACTTCAAAGTCACCCAGCTGGAAGAACGATGGAGCTGCATACCACCCTGGGCTCAGACTGACCGTTATGGAAACATTTTGCAGGACAGACAGAGATGCGTGTCGGTGTGTATAGAACTTAGTGATTTGGGCATGTGAATCTCAGTTCTGGCTTTGCATCACTGCAATACATTCAATTTCTATTCAACTCTATATTTCTCCACAAACGGAGCCAAAGACCGTTCTTACAAAGAGGTTCAAGCTGTAATAGCAAGTCTGACAGCCTGAGTTGTAGGAAAATGATGGGGAGGGCCAAACCAAGATATGCTTTGCATAGGCAAATGTGCCAGCCTCGTCTGGAACAGAAATGCCATTCCTGATCGGAACTGCTTTAGGGAGGGTGAAAGAGCCTGTTTCTCGGAAGCCAAATAAGACAATGTTCATTTATTATTAGGACTCAGATTGTTGGCAGGTAATAATTTGTACTCTGTAAACCGCTTAAAGAGGCCTATAAACATTCTAGGAAATGATATATAAATCTAAGTGCTATCCTCCTTCCTTCCCTTCTTTTCTTTCTTTTTTCCTCCCTCCCTTCCTTTCCTTCCTCTCTCCTTCTCCTTCCTGATGGCGCAGTAGTTATAATGCTGTATTGCCAGCTAACTCTGCCAACTACCAGCAGTTTGATCCTAACCAACTCAAGGCTTGACTCAGCCTTCCATCCTTCCAAGGTTGGTAAAATGAGCACCCAGATTGTTATGGGACAACATGCTGATTCTGTAAACCGCTTAAAGAGGGATGTAAAGCATTATGAAGCAGTATATGAGTCTAAGTGCTATTGCTCTTCCTTCCTTCCTCTCCTATTTCTCGTTTCTGGTACAGCAGTGGTGAGAATGCAGTATTGCAGGTCAACTCTGCCCATTGCCAGGAGTTCAATTCTGTTCGGCTCAAGGTTGACTCAGCCTCCCATCCTTCCCAGGTGAGTAAAATGAGGATCCAGATTGTTGTGGGACAATATGGTGACTCTGTAAACCACTTAGAGGGGGCTGTAAAGCACTGTGAAGCAGCATATAAGTCTAAGTGTTCTTGCTATTAGAAGTTTATCCCATCCTTCCTCTGTGAGTTTGCCCTGCTAAGCACCTAAGTTATGGGAACAGAGTACCAATACAGACAGGGGTTCAATCAGACACAACA